CAGTTCATAACTTGTCCAGCCTCTGCTATACAGTTCTCAAGTCTGAATCAGCAATTTATTTATTTACAAATTGGCTGATGAGATGCTAGAACTTATTTTTCTCACAGGGACAATACCATAAATACACTCAGGTACTTAGACTATCCTAGAAACTCCCATGAAAATGGTGTAAATGGTGCTAATGTACTGATATCTAATCCACATTACAAAATAAACTATTTACATCCAATAAACCATGTATGTTTCAGTCTTGTAACCTCTCTGTCCAGCAGACAGCATGTGCTCAATAGATCGTTATTACATGAAATAGGGCAGAATACTTGCTTTTGAAAAACGCTTTTCAATCTTTTCCTTCCAACATTTGGAAATGACACCTCTCTTGGCAAAGAACTAGAGGGCAAAGACTTACCTGGACAAGGTAAACAAATAACTTACATTTCTGAGAATTAATAAAGTTTATTCTATCTATAGATCCCCAGGTGATCCGAATTGTGGGGGCATGGGGAAGGGAGTAGAGGTCTTCTGAATTAATAAAAGAGTTTAATCATAGGAGCCCCTGATGGACCATCATGTTAGCCTATTCATATCTCTTCAATTCCAAATGTCCTTCACCTGGCTCTTTTTCAAAGAAATGTCTTGGACAAATTTAAAACTCTAACAATTGGCTGTTACATTAAATTAAGTTAAATCTCATACATTATATCCAAATATCTCATGTATCAACACAAGCCATTAATTTGATAATTTCCCCATGAGATTATAAAATGATCAGAATTACAAGGCTCACAATAGAAAATTCTGTGGCAAAAACTGCAGTATGAGGTGACAGATGGCCAATAGACATATCAAAAGATGCTCAACATCACAAATCATCAGAGAAATGCAAATTAAAACCACAATGAGATAGTACCTCACATCCTTCAGAATGGCTATCATCAACAAATCAATAAACAAAAAGTGCTAGTGAGGATATGGAGAAAGGCAAACCCTTTTGCACTGTTGGTGAGAATGTAGACTGGTACAACCACTGTGCAAAGCACTATGGAGATAACTAAAAAAATTTAAAATGGAACTGAATTTTGACCCAGCATTTCCACTGCCAGAATTATACCCTAAGAATACTGAAACACCAATTCAAAAGAAACTATGCACTCCAATGTTCATAATAGCACAATTTACAATAGCCAAGTGCTGGAAGCAACCTAACTACCCATCAGTAAATGACTGGATCCAAAGTTGTGGTACATTTACACAATGGAATACTACACAGCAGAGAGAACGAAGGAGCTCCCACCCTTTGCAACAGCATGGATGGAACTGGAGAGCATTATGCTAAGTGAAATAAGCCGGGTGGTCGATAAAAGACAAATACCATATGATCTTGCCTGTAAGTGGAACCTAATCAACAAAACAAACAAGCAAACAAAATATAACCAGAGACATTAAAATAAAGAACAAACTTACAGTGACCAGAAGGGAAGTGGGGGGAGGATAACAGGAAAAGAAAAGAAGTAAATAAATAAATAAATAAATAAATAAATAAATAAATAATTTTTTAAAAATATGGAGGCTGAATGGATAAGAAAATAAGACCCTTACATATGCCGCCTTCAAGAGTCTCACTTTAGACCAAAAGATCACACGGACTGAAAATAAATGCATGGAAAAAGATATTTCATGAAAATGAAAACAGGCAAACAAACAAACTAAAAACTGGGGCAGCAATACTTATACCAGACAAAATAAACATTAAAACAAAGGGTATATAACAAGGGACAAATGAGGACCCAGCAATTCCACTTCTGTGTATTTATCCAAAGAAACCCAAAATGTCAAATCAAAAAACGCACACATTCATATGTTCATTGCAGCATTACTCACAATAACTAAGATATGGAAGCAACCTAAGTGTCCATCTATAGATGAATAGAAAAAGTGAAGCATGTGTACAGTTATGACAGAGCCATAAAAAAGAATGAAATCTTCCTACCTGCAACAACGTGGATGAACCTAGAGTTGTGCTGAGTGGAGTAAGTCACACAGAGGAAGACAAATACCATATGATCTCACTTATATGTGAAATCTTAAAAACAAAATAAACAGGCAAGCAGAACAGAAGCAGACTGATAGGTACAGAGGACATTTTGAAGGCTGCAAGATGGGAGAGGGGTTAGGAGAATGTGTGGAAAAGGTGAAAGGATTAAGAAGTACTAACTGGTAGTTCCAGAACATTCAAGGGGATGGAAAGCACAGCACAGAGAGCATGGTGGGTCAGTAATATGGTAATGACTATGTATCATGTCACATGGGTGCTAGATTCATTGGGGTGATTGCTTAGTAAGTGATAGAATACTGATCACCAACCAGGTTGTACACCTGAAACTAATATAATATTATATGTCAGCTGTAATCAAAAAATTAAAAAATTTTAAAGTAAAAAAGAGTATTTCTATGCATGACAGTAATAAAGTATTATAAACTTTTTAAAATTCAGTTCACAATGGCATAAAAATCTTTAAAATATGCGTGAATAAATCTTATAAGTCTCTTTTATGGAGAAAAGCATAAAATAGGCATATTGGTTTTAAAATGCTGTGGTACTAATTCTGTGGTGAATAAATTGAACACTGGAATATTAGAAGCTGGTAAATAAAACCACCTTTATACGAGATCTTAGTACACTAGGTATCAGTGGGAAAAGGATGAATATTTTTGGTTACAAATAACAAAATCTAACTGTTAAAATGATTCAAACAATGAGAAGAATTATCTCACAAAACCAAATATTTTTATGTAAGGCTCAAAGTAATCATTAAAGATTTAGGTTCTGTTCTGTCTTCCTCAAAATGTCAGTGAACTAGCTCTCATTATTATCACAAAATGCTCAAAATGTCACAAACATATAACAAGAGGCTTAAAAAGGATCTTGTTTCTTCATTGTATATATTTCTATACGAGCAACAGAAAATCTTCCCTAGAGTCACCTTCAGCAAACTTCCCTTTACCTCTCTTTGGCTAGACCTGCTAAACCACTCATTAAGTGGGAAAATGAGAATACCAATACAGTCTGAGACAAAAGAGGCGCTGCCTAAATCATGTGGGAAAAGAGTAGACATGGAACAAAACTGGTGTTCTGTCAACATACGAAAAAGAAACATGGCTGTTGGATAAGTAATCTATGGTGGAATCAATGGAATATTTTATAAATAATGTGGGGGAAACAGGCTATCCATATGGAAGAAAAGAAAATCAGACCCTAATAATATAAATGAAAATAAGTTTCAGGTGGATTAAAAATTTGAATGCAAAAGTAAACATTAATTCTCAGAAGAGAAAATAAACAATATATTTAGAAATAAGGTGTAGAAGAGGATTTCTAATATAAAATATAAATATGCACAAACAATAAAGAATAATATTAATTAACTAGACTACAACAAAAATTAAAACTTTTATACAATAAAATATACAGGAATTGAAATTAAAAGACAAACCATAGTCTAGAAGTATCTATGATATAAAACAGTTTTTGCTGTTACCCAATAGAGAAAAAAATGGGCAAAGTAAAAGAATAAGCAATTAATAGAAGAGGAAGATTGAATAGCCAATAAATATTATAAAGATGCTCAACTTCACAGTAGTCGGAGAATTGCAAATTTATACCCAGAAAGTATTGACCCACTATAGAAATGTTTAAGTTTGAACATCCTGATGCTGGACATGATGCTGGAAGACAACTGTCATCCATTCCTAACAGAAAGGGCAACTAGTTCAACTTCTCTGGTGATCTACTTGGCGATATTCAGTAAAGTCCACAACACACATGGCCAACAATCTAACAATGCGTTCCACGGTCTATATCCTAGAGGACCCTGCCACATGTGTATCCAAAACCTGTTCCAGGATGCTCATCGCATCCCTTCTAATCGCACACACACTCACACATATGCAAATATGGAACAGCCTAACCATATATCAATATGGTTTGGGTAAATCATTGTATCTCTATATAATCAAATAGTTTGGTATGGTTTAAATGAATGAACTAGATCTACACATGTCAATTTGGATTATATTAAAAAGAGAATGTTGAAACCCTTTTCAGTAGAGAATACAATCCCTGAATGAAAACTCTACTATGTACTGAACATTTATAACTTCATGTACAATAAACCTATTATTTTTAAATATTTTTAAAGCACTATGTTGAAAAAGCAGGTTGTCTAGGGATATTGATAGTATGATGTCACTGATATAAAAAGTGAAACCCATAAAAATAATCTGTATTATTTATGTAAAAATAAATATTCAGTAAAAATAAAGAAGTCAGAGAATGCCAGGGAAGGGAACAGATCAGAGATTCTTCAACTTGACTTATCTGCAGTTTTGTTTCTTTAAAGAGAAAGGATATAAAATATTACAAACTAGTAAACTATATTGAGCTATATGGAAAATACATAGATATTTGTCATACTATGTTATGTAAGTTTGAAATAATTTTAAAAAATTTTAAATACATTTTTTTACAAAAGTTTTCCATGAAAACATTTCATTAATCATGAAAAGGTCCAACCCCACATACAAATTTCTTCATAAAACTACAAATGGAGTTTGCTTCCCTTCATCTTTTACTAAGCATCATTTTAAGGCACAAAATATTCTACAGGCAAAGTAGCAAGAATTGAATAAAGATGCAATGAAAATCAAGAAAGGTCCGAGTGGCATATAATTGAAAAGAGGTTTTCAAAAGTTAGTCAAATGTTCAAAAACCATTGTTAGTATTGAGTGAATAGCCAAAGATGTCACTGTCAAAAAAAATATTTTTAAAGGTACGGAAAATGTTTCTACATGCATTTTACTTTGGGGCACAAGGAGAATATGATATAGGACATATATCAACAATATGATTTATTGCTGAGACCACAATAAATACCAATGTTTTTCTCTGGAAGTGATCATTTTCATTATTAATACCCCAAGAAGCTCCTATAGCAACATACCTGGAGAAGGAGCCTTTCAAAAGCCAGAAAGTTGTCCCACTTGGCAGTCTGGGGGTGTTTCAGGGTTTGAACTGTGGCCAGTCCAAGCTGCAGGAGTCCACAGTGATTCGCTAGAGCTTTGCGGTTGTTCTTGAAGAGCTGAATGTAGGACATGAGCTGCCCTGGCGTGACTCTCCCTGGAGAAATGGAGTAATTTATCAGTGAGCCCTCTCCTGAGAGTGGCAAAAATAATAAGAGTTCCATTAATAATATTAACTGCCTTACACTGGCACAGGACTTCAGAGTTGACTGCAAGCCTCACTAAGCTATTGTGATTCTTACAACAACATGGTGACAACAGTGAAATTGAAATTATGACCTGCAAATTGCAAGTGAGGAAACAGCTGTTAAATGATCTGGCCAAGGTCATATTGCTGGTAGAATTCATTTTCTAATTCTGCAATGCCCTAGAAACAAGTTCTCAAATAAAGTTGTACAAATAAATTGTTGAGTTCAACATGAAGTACCTCTCCAAGACATATGATTTAGCAATCTAAGAGGCCAAAAGACAAGATTCCTGATTGTGCACGCATATAAAAGGAAAAATCTGCCATGACTATAGCTAAAACATTATCACTGGTGTCACGGGTTCATGACAATAAAACAATCAAAGCTGGCTGTTAAACCAGACAAAAATGTACAGAGAACCAGGATGGCAAAAACACTGGAAAATAAGGCACTAGAACTAAGAGTCTAGTGCTCTTTTGGCTACAACAATCACCTAGATTGAAACCTGAAAACCCACACCATAAAAAACTAGAATTTGTACAAAACCATAAACAAATGAACAACAAAAACTCTTGAAGTAACTCCTTCAGAGCCTCTATTTCACTTTTGCCTGTAGCAGTCCTTTGATTGAGTCACTTCTCACTTTCCAGCCCATTCAGTTTAATGCCTGCCATTTATCAGTGCATGGAACTTCTGAACACCACATATTCTTCCTGCTGAGCAACAGGAAAGCAATAGTACCAAATGCAGATGCAAGTCAAGTAAATCTTTCCTGCACGTTACCCATGTCGTATTTGCAGGTTGCCCTCCAATACCTACAATCCAAGTTTGTTTATTACATTGAGGTTTGTTAACACTTGGCAACGAAACCACCTGTCTTTATTTAGCACTTCACAGTTTCCACAGTGCAGCCAAGCCCTCTTATTCTCACAGCCACTCCGTGAGGCAGCAAGCAAGGCATGTGCTGTGTTGCTTAGCCCGACCTGAGTCACTGGGAGTTTGGTGTCTTACACAGTGCTAAATGGCAGATATCACTTAAAAAGTGGTTTTTGCTTCAGATCATAATATACACAAAAAATAAAGACCTTGACAGAAGAAACATAAGCCTGTGACATATTCTTTTTCATTGTGTTTTTTTGAAGAAGTTAAGAATTTTGAAGCTCCTTCAAAATGCTCACCAGTTTATCAGGGTGAGCATCTAAAGAATAAGAATAGCAGAAATGTAAATAGGGAGTTGAGTTCCACAAGTTCTTTCAGGCCCTTGGTAGAGCATGAGTTCCTTCCTGATTCTCAAAGCACCGAGCTAATGATTTGCTTGCTTAAGTACTAATAGGGAGGAGCCTCAAGAACTCTGGTTTTGAGTCACGTTTACTAATATATAATTTTCACACAAAATGGGTCCAAATTTAAGACCACTGTGAGCTCTGTGTATTTGTTTATACACTGTACTACAGGTGATGGCGGTGTGGCTCCTGGACACAGAGTTTGGCCTATCATGAGGGACAGTCCAAAACAATCATAAAAATAAGTGCTTAATCATTATGGTGATAAGTACTGCTAAGGAAAACTACAAAGTGTCTTGAAAGTGAGAATGTCTCTGTATGATACGAAACTGCTTATCCCTCCAACGCTGTCTCCTCAACTGGAGGAGGAAGAATTAAACAAGCTCAATATATGCACAATCTATTCATTATACAACTGTCTTTTAGAGACTGCAAGGAGTGGAAATCATCAGAGAAAGTCACCAGAGGGTCTGTTTAGATTTCAATTTAAAGATAAGAGTGTCTCTGATTCAAAAATACGGTTGAACCCTTCATCCAGTTAGCATTTCCTTGCTCAGACTCAGTAACCATGTTTACACAATGCCACCTTCCCACATACGGAATCTGATCCAAAGGATCAAATGGGTACATTTCAAAAAGAAAATAAATGCCAACAGAACACTACATTAGGCACTACATTATTCACCCTTGCTGCTTTATTCTGTTCCCTTCTGTATATCCTTTTCTTACACATACAAGCCACTAATACTTCCTAAGGTATGATATGAAAGCAGAACTTTTGCTAAAAATCCATAAGTGCTAATTGTAATTTAGTAAAAGAATACCTCACACAATGTTTTAAAGTATAGGCTAGTTACATTTACAAAATTTTAAATTTAATTGCGACCTTACACAAAACAAATCTCAATCAACTAAAAGACTATAAAAAATGCTATTGTGGAATCAATGACTTGAGAAAGCTTTTCGACTTCTATCAACTAAAACAGCAAGCAACCAGAACCAGGTGCTGAAAAAGCCATAGATAGAATATTTATTCATATCTCACATTACCAAAAAAAGCCCCAAAACACTTGTCAGGCAGATTTACATGGTGATTTCAAAATGTCAACCCAGAAAGCTTTGCAAAACATTTTTTAAAACAATAAAAACAAGGGTTATTTTATATCAAGACTAATACATAGCAACTTTTTGAAAATTGACAATCTGAATCTGACAAATGGCTTTCAAGTAAGGATGACTATTACCCTTTCTTTTTCTTCTTTATATAGTTTCTAAGAAAGAGCAACAGGCTTCTGATTTTAATTCAGCTAGAAGAAAAACATAAAGCTTTATCACCCATCAGTTCTATATAGTTTAAAACTCATTGAAATATAATTAATTATCTCTTGGGGAAATAGGACGGATTTGAAAAATAAAAGGATTTAATATTTTAATAAGTCTGTGAGTCTTTAAAAACTGAATTTAATGGAATTCAAATGCATAATGGAGCCTATTTTTCTATTTACGATATACACTTGATAAATTATAACTCAACTTGTTTTGCGACATATAAAAATATATTTAAATACCTACACATAGATGATTCTTTGTCGATATTCTTAAAGACTATTCAGTGCCAGGTCTGATTAAACCATAAAGCTACATTTTTTTTTAATTTTTATTTAATTATTTTTCAAGTATATTTTTTTGTGTATTTCTCCCATCCCAGCCCCGCCCACCCCGTCTCCCCACCTCCCTCCCATTTCCCCCCCCAGTCCTCATCCCTGTGTCTTTCATACTTGTTCCTCTAAATCCCTCCCCATTTTTCCCTTTAAATTCCCTTCCCTCTCCCCTCTAGTCACTGCCCACTTGTTCTCTATTTCAGTGTCTTTGTTTTTATTCTGTTTGCTTGTTTGTTTTATTGTTTAGCTTCCTGTCAAAGGTGAGATCATATGGTATTTGTCCTTCAATGCCTGGCCTATTTCACTCAGCATAATGCATAAAGCTACATTTTAATGGCAGAAAGCAACCACCATCAGAAATTTTGTCTAAAATAGCATAGTTAGTACTCTATAATACTTTTTAAAACTCTTGGTACAAGAAATAATAGTGTTATCCCATGTTTTTATTCATTTTCCTGAAAACATGAATGAAAACCTAGTGTATAGAATTTGAATAAACAAACATGTATTTTAAGACTTGCATTTCCAGAAATCAGCATTTCATTTATCTTGTCAATCACTTTTCTAATATAATAAAGGCAAAGTACATTAAAATATTTAAATAGAGCCCAGCTGGTGTGGTTCAGTGGCTTGAGCACAAGCCTGTGAGCCAAAGGGTCACATGCCTGGGTTACGGGCCAGGTCCCCCCAGTAGGGGATGTGGGAGAGACATACAACATTTAATGTTTCTCTCCCTCTCTTTCTCCCTCCTTTCCCCTTTGTATAAAATAAATAAATGAAATCTTTTAAAAAATACCACCAATTTCTGAAAAAAATTTAAATAGAATCTGTTTGGCCAAAACTCTGGTTTATTAACTCACAATTGGCAAATGGGAATAATTTCAATATTACAAAAAAGTTACACCTATTCATTTGTTATTTTTTCTCATTATTTTAAAACTTTGTACCACCAAGTACCAGCAGAAGATCGTAGAGTAAGTGAACACAGCTGAACAGTGCGAGTCACTGCAGAACTGGGCACCTTCAGTCCTTCCCTGAGCTCCACTTGGCCACGTGTCCTGTCACAAAAGAGCTTCCTGTTTGATTCTACCTGATCTCCAGTGCATTTTGGCTTTGCCTCCATACCTAAACAGCCTCAACACCTCTTTTACACCTTTTCCAGTGAGCTACCTTTTACTCTTTTTTGTTCATATATATGCTGTAACATTTTGTTATTTATAAAAATTTAACATATCTGTTTTTTTATAATACTGAAGCATAGAAGTATTTATTGCAACAAAGTAAAGAAAATGACAGCAATTTGAAAATTTTTAAATAAATTTTGTGATTCAATTTGCCTGTGATTAGCTTTGGAAACTGTTTTATATTAGCTTTAAAAGGCTTTAAAAACAGCAAAAACAAATCCAAACAAAAACCAACGTCAAAAATGAAATCTTTATGTTATCAACTAATTCAAATTTATACCTAAAGGATCAAAATGAATTACAGTTATGTTTTTTCTCAAAGTGCTTAAAGGGATTTTTAGCAACTTGAAAGCTGTTACTAATTTTTTTGAAAGCCAATTGATTTCTTTAAATTTATTTATTGTTCAAGTACATATCTTTTTAACTGTGATAGTATTTTTATTTTAGGTTTTGTTAGTGCTCTAATTAGAAATTTGCATAGATTTTGTTTTGAATGGGTTTCTGCTAATCGTATTTTTTTATCACGAGCCCTGATAATTTAGTATGCAATTTTGCAAAGCAAGTTTTCCAGGAATAGATATATGATAGTAAAAATGCCCATCTAATATATAGACAAAAGAGGCAACTCTGTTAACATTAAACTACTGGTTGGTAGACAGCACCATCAGAGAAATTTTCAAGTAATTAATTCAATGGTTGACATAAGAGAGACAGAATCTTGTGTATGAAAGATGGTTTGGAGTTTTGTAAACAATGTACAAAAGGCTCAAAGGGTAGACTC